ACTCTTATTTTTTTTGAGACAGAGTCTCATTTTGTTGCCCTCAGTAGAGTGTCGTGGCATCACAGCTCATGGCAACCTCCAGCTCTTGGGCTTGATTCTCTTGTCTCAGCCTTCCACATAGCTGGGACTACAGGCGCCTGCAACAACACCTAGCTACTTTTTAGAGACAGAGTCTTGCACTTGCTCACCCTGGTTTCAAACCTGTCAGCTCAGGCAATCTACCGACCTCAGCCTCCCCAAGGGGGCCAGCTCTCTAACCATTGAGCTATGGGCACCCAGCCTCCACTCTTATTTTTTTGAGACAAGAGTCTCACTCTGTTGCTCTGGGGTAGAGTGCTGTAGCGTCACGTTAGCCCATAACAACCTCAAGTTCTTGGGCTTAAGTGATCCTCCTGCCCCAGCCTCCCAAGTAGCTAGGACTACAGGTGCCCACCACAGGCCCAGTTATTTTTTTTTACTTTTAGTGGAGAATAGGGGTCTTATTCTTGCTGCGGCTGTTCTGGAACTCCTGAGCTGAAGGGATCTTCCTGCTTCAGCCTCCCTGAGTGCTAGGATTACAGGCGTGACCCACCATGCCTGGCCAGCTCCACTATTTTAGTTATTTTAAAGTATACCCTAACTTATTATTCATTATAGTCACTTTGTTATACTATCAAATATTGTTCATTCTATCAAACTAACTATATTTTTCACCCATTAACCATCTCTGCTTTGTTCCCCCAATCCCTGTTGCCCTTCTCATCTTCTTGTAACCGTTTTTCTACCCTCTGTCTCCATGACATCAATTGTTTTTAATATTTAGCTCTCACATAATGAGTGAGAACATGCAAGATTTCTCTTTGTTTGGTTTAGTTCACTTAATATAATGTTCTCTAGTTCCATTCATGTTGTTGCACATGGTAGGATTGCATTCTTTTTGTGGCTATATAATATTCCATTGTGTATATGCACACCACTTTTTTTTAATCCATTCATCCATTGATGGGCACTTAGGTTAATTCCTGATGACTAATGATGTTGAATACTTTTTCATATACCTATTCTCCATTTGTATGTTGTCTTTTGAGAAATTTCTTTTTCTTTTCAGATCCTTTGCCCTTTTTTTTCTCCTTTGCCAATTTTTAAATCAGATTATTTGATTTATTTCTATTGACTTGTTGGAGCTCCTTGTGTATTCTGGTTATTAGTCCCTTGTCAGACAAGTGGTTTGCAAATATTTCCTCCCATTCTGTGGGTTGTCTCTTCATCTTATTGATTGTGTCTTTTGCTGTGCAGGAGTTTTTTAGCTTGATGTGATACAGTTTGTCCAATTTTGCTTTGGTTGCCTGTGAAAAGGAGTTCTTAAAACTGAATTTCTCATACTGAGGTATAGATGTGTCCCAGAGTAGGTCTGATCACACATATGCATATGCCAGGAGTTCTTACAGGCATAGGAAAAGTAAAAGTGGATCATCTCCTAGTGTCAATTTTACTTAAAGATTTTGGATAGTTTTCGGTGTAGAATCATGGTATGTGCTATATTGAGAGGGACGTTTGTGTTTATGTGTTTATGCAGGAGAAAGAAAATTTTGCACAATGTTTGGGGAGAAAAAAGACTTCAAAGAAATTTTATAAAGTGTAGTAGTGTTTTGGGACTCTAGTACACTTTATTTTACCTTCACTGATTCTTCAGTAGAGAAATTTGTGAAGCAGTGACTCAGAACATTCTTTCCTAAGTATGGTTTTCTTATTAGTATTTTCCAAGATAGCTTAGTCACCAAGAAATCATTGATAAATAAAGTCTGTTAATTCCTCAATTAATGAATTATATATAGCAACAAGTGTGCAGCTCAAGGATTGGGGTTCCCTTTATCTTATGGCCAACAAGGGTTTCTCTTAATATCCATGAAATTTCAGATTTTTATATCAGGTTCTTATTAATATAAAATGATGTCATAATAAAGCTATTTTATCGTCTTAAAAGATAAGAAAATATATTTAAAAAATAAAACAATAGTACTTTAGTTCCTTTTTCTTTGAAGATGGTATTTTGCTTTTATATATATATATTTTTGTTTTGTTTTGTTTTGTTTTGTTTTTTGAGACAGAATCTCAATCTATCTCCCTGGGTAGAGTACATGGCCTCATAGCTCACGGAAACCTGAAACTCTTGGGCTTAAGCCAGGTGCCCTCAAACTACGGCGTGCAGGCCACATGTGACCCGCCTAGGACATTTATCTGGGCCTGCCGGGTGTTTTTGCCGCCGCTGCCTGTCCTGCTTAGCAGCTAACTTGTCCCCGAAGCCTGCAGTCTGGCCCTCCAACGGTCTGAAGGACAGTGAACTGGCCCCCTGTTTAAAAAGTTTGAGGACCCCTGGCTTAAACGATTCTCTTGCCTTAGCTTCCCAAGTGCTGGGACTACAGGCACCCACAACACCTGGCTGTTTTTGTTGTTGTTGTTGTTGTTGTTGTCATTGTTGTTTAGCAGGCCCCAGGCTGGGTTCGAACCCACCAGCCCCGGTGGATGTGGCTGGCTACTTAAGCACTGAGCTATGGGTGCTGATCCTATTTTGCTTATATTTTAATAAAAGGCAAAAGAGTGGGACCCTCTCTTTTTAAGAAAAAAAAGTTCTCCCTAGGATTCCTTTGTCAGTAGGATCAGTGTTTATATCCCTATTAGTCATCCCCCTGTCAATTTCCATAGGTGTTAAAACTTCCAAAGTAGAAAATTCTCCTGATAACTGTCCAAAATAGAGGAAAACAAACAAACAAAAACCTAGGGTGTTTGTATCCAAATTATGATGGCTAGTCATTACCAGTTCTTTTTAAGGAAGTGATAGTATTAAAAAATATATATAAATACATGAAGTACCTAATATTTATTTTATTTATTTTTTTGAGACAGAATTTCACTGTGTCACCCCCAGTAGAGTGCTGTGGCATCACAGCTCACAGCAACCTCAAACTCTTGGGCTCAAGTGATTCCCTTACCTCAGCCTCCCTAGTAGCTAGGACTACAGGCGCCCACCACAATGCCCAGCTATTTTTTTTTTCTTTAGCAGGCCCCGGCTAGTTCAAACCTACCAGCCCTGGTGCATGTGGCTGTCCCCTAACCACTGAGCTAAGGCTGCTGAGCCCTTAATCTTCCTTTCTAGTTCTTGTGGGCTAATAGAGAAAACTATAGAGCAACAAGTTTTCTTTAGTTTTTCTAGCAAGATTCTTTTTTCCCCCCTATAAATTGGTTGGCGAGTATTTATCTATGCACTTATGCTTATCTGCCACCACACAGACATACTCCTGTCTGTTGGTACATATGCATATTTGTATACGTGTACTGTGTGTATACATGTACTCTTAAGTTTTTTCTCATTGAATGTCTCACGTCCAGATGTCTCAGCTGAGATAGTAGGGCTCAGAGGAAGCTACTATGTTAAATGTTTCTGTAGGCATTCCTGTAAGACAGATTGTTACCAGAATAATTATTTTGGGTTTTTTGATTGTTATAAGAATGATTATTTTGGGTTTTTCCTCAGTACCAGAATAATGTTTTAGGTTTTTCCTTGGTAGCCTTTGCTTAATAACTTCTGGGTCATGTGCTTTTGGTTAATTTGGCTTCCTTCTACTTTCTGACACTGAGGCAGTAGGTATGAACTCTGTAGGAAGGCTTACGTCTGTTAGAAGTAGGAGCGTAAAGCACTACAAAGATTCTTTAGATTAACATTTTTTTATTACTAGTGATATCTTTTTCCAATTTTTAGGTCTGCCAAAGGAGCTTCTTACCTGTGCAGCAAATACAGGGGAAAGTCATATGTTGAAGTCTAGTCTAATCTTGATATTCATAACATTATTTTTTTTTGAGACAGGCACCCTAGATAGAGTGCAATAGTGCAAACTCCCGGGCTCAAGAGATCCTTTTGCCTCAGCCTCCTGAGTAGCTGGGACTATAGGCATCTGCCATGACACCTAGCTAGT